TCCTCGAAGAAAAAAAATTTTTTTCTAAATGAGGACCATCCAGTGACTGACCACACGAAGACTCCTTCCTTTTTCTTTCTTCCTCTTTCTTTTCCTCCCTCAACTGGTTAGAGAAGAAGGAATCATCTACCCGAAATCTTCCCATGCCTGCCCTTGGCAGCCTTGGTCTCTTTTCACTTCTCTTAAAAGGTTAATGTTGTTGCTGATGGTTTTTATTTTATTCTCTCCCTCCAACCCACCTATTCCCTATTTGGGGCTCAGGGAGACTTCACTGAAAATCCGGTAAAAATGACGGTTGTCTTCAGCGTGTGCAAGCAAAGGAAATTCGCTTTTCAAACGGATGCCGAGGTCGCCTTTCCGTTTGGGTTCAGAACAAGATGCCCTGGAAATATGCTATTATCAAGGGGTGTTATTGTGTGGGGGTCACCCCTCCATCCTATTCCCCAGCATCACAAGGATGTGAGATTTCTGCCCGCTCGGGAGGCGGCTGCATTAGCGGCAATTAGAACGACCTGATGCCGTGGTTAGCGTTGCTCCAGCGGTTCTGGAATTAGCAAACTGCTATTCAGTGTGCTCTCAAAAGTTGGAGGTTTTTCACTCCAGCGCTCATGTTCAGTGTGGGGAACCAAGTCGTTTCTCCTGGCTTGGGCCGCGTGGGGTAAGGGGAGGAGTGGATAGGCGAGGGGAACAGACGAACTGACCGACACAGTCAAACTAATAACGCAGCTAAATGCGATTTGGAAGGCGAGGTCTCCCCGAATTAGTGCATGAATTTCCTATCGATCCGCCCGCGGTTCCATTCATCTCTGACAAGTCCCTCTGTGCACCCGCCTGCTTGCTCCGACGCCTCCTCTCTCACTCCCTACCCCTCCCCGTTCGGCTGCAGAGAAAAGCCCCACGCTTAGTGCCTCTCCCCCGTGTGGGTTCCCCTCTCCAGGCAGAGCCCCTAGTCTATCCCTCACTTAACTCCCTGCACAGACGCCGGGTGCAGGGTCTCCCTTCCGTCGTGAGGAGGGCCTGGGGGCCTAAGGAAGGCAGGGAATGCCCAGTGGAGGGGAGACAGGACAGGAGGGGCCACATCCGGAGCCCCAACTTCTGAGGGGATCCAGGGATGGCGCTCTGCCCAACGCCCCAACAGGCCCTAGGGTGGCAACCTGCTTGGTCGCTATCCCTCTCTCTCACTCCCTCCCTTTTCCCCCGAACCGGGAGAGCGAGGCGAGGAGGCGGTCGCCCCGCAGGAGCCCTATGTAAATCCTGGTGTTGGGTGGGTGGGGAGGGGGAAGAGAAGGGGAAATAAACCTCTTTGGCTGGAGTAGGGTCCGGGTGAGCAGATTTCCTTATCCGGGAATCGCAGGCGGGGCGGCCATTGGCTCCAAAGATCACGTGGGCCCCTAACTTTGTTCACTTGACAGTAAGTAGGAGGGCTTTCGGAAACAGGAAAACGAGTCAGGGGTCGGAATAAATTTTAGTATATTTTGTGGGCAATTCCCAGAAATTAATGGCTATGAGTTCTTTTTTGATCAACTCAAACTATGTCGACCCCAAGTTCCCTCCGTGCGAGGAATATTCACAGAGCGATTACCTACCCAGCGACCACTCGCCGGGGTACTACGCTGGCGGCCAGAGGCGAGAGAGCAGCTTCCAGCCGGAGGCGGGCTTCGGGCGGCGCGCGGCGTGCACCGTGCAGCGTTACGCGGCCTGTCGGGACCCTGGGCCCCCGCCGCATCCGCCACCACCCCC